GCACTTCCAGATAGCCCTATAGTCCTGTTAAGATGTTGGTGTCAGCCGGTACAGCTCTGATAAGCATTCACAGAAGTTCTAGGGGGGTGGGGTTGTGATAGACAAAGCCTTCTTAGTTTACACACATCCCAGGAGAAATTTGATGTCAACCTCCTTCGAGACCAACCAGGGGAGTCAGATTCAGGTAAGCCACAGTTGTTGATATTATTTTTAAGGCAGACTGTTATTTTTCAGCAGCACTGAGTTCTGCTGGTACTTCGATGATTCAAAATGGCCACATTTGTGGGCATTCCACTGGTCCGTGTTTATTAGCACCCTCCAAGGTTGTCCCCAACATGCTGGCGAGTCCCAGAAGCCGCAAGTGGCCTGCAATTCTCACAAATCGCTTCTATCTTACGGTTTAGCTTGTAAATCAGCTGATTTTGAATGCTTGAAGGACAAACCAAACCTTCACACAAGGTCAGCAGCTTTGCCATAGCCAAAACTGCTGCCGCCGTCTTCTTTAATAGCCAATAACATAAGTATCCGACGGTGCCAAAAAGCAGAAACTCTACTATCATGATTCCAAGGATATAAACATCTTCAGTGTCCTCCTGAGACAATACGGAAAGTCACATCAACTTCCAAACCCCCCACGGAGCCATGACATATCCTGCCGCATGCATCTCAGCGGGTCATGAGGGCTCTCCAGGACCCTGTTGCTCGGATGAAAAGATTTTATTGATTGCATTGAAAGTCCAGCTGACCAGGTCCATGATGGTAGTTTATGATTCGGAAGATGTGTAAATCGAAGCTCCGATACACAGGACAGAAAGCAAAAAAGCAGGAGGAGGATGGGAGAGGGGAAGGAAAACATCCCTCTTGCTCGAGGGCGAGTGAGAAAAAAAGAAAATAAATAAAATAAATTGGATGTAGATTAATGACATTTGTAGATCAAAGCTTCATCTTTAAGGGGAATGAAATGTAGGATTAAAACAACTCCTATAAATTTTGCCTTACATAAACGTTTACATACAAAGTATAAATACATGGTTTTATGTGTTGGGTGCAAGGTTCCCAAGAACAATTTTGATTATTTTTCGATTTTAGATCCATGATACTGCTGCGACTAGCTGTCAGCTTGTGTTTGTTCAGAATTAAACCCTGTTTCTTCAAACTGAGGTCATTTAAAGAGCTACCTACAACAATTAAGATACTGATTGTTGTTTGTAACCTTACTATGGAACCCCCTTAAAAAATCAATACACTTCAAGAATGTTTTAGTCATATATATCATGTGGTAATAATAATTATAAATATTAGTAGATATCAGTCAGCTAAAAAAATGAGTAAAGATACGTTGGTACACTTAAAATGGACTAATTCAGTCTGAGATGACACACATCTCTACCATTGTTCTGTTTTAATTGGTTTTGTCTTTATTTTACTTTTCAAATGTATGATTCCTAATCTGCTAACATCTGTAAAACACATGTTAATTAATTGCTTTTAGTCAGCAATTAACTCTGGTTTCATTTAATCCATACATTCTATCAAAACACATGTGAACCCTGTCAAGAATGCATCCAAACCTGTGCTCTATATAAATATAATAATATATAAATAAAGATGAGCTTATTTATGGTAAGAAAATTGTTTCTCCTCATCTGCCAGTTCACAAGTTGCTCACCCTGTGACACTGGATCTTAGTAGGACAGCACCTAAATGTCCACATGTCACCCCCTGAGCCCTGAGACAGACTGACACGAGAGGACGGAGACATTAGTCTTATTGTCCGGAGTAACTCCTCCTTTCTCGCGTCGCGCTTTGGTGAACAGTGAATTATTCAGGGTGAACAAGCTGTTGCAACTTTAAACTCAGTTGTGCACATTTTCATTAACCTCCTTCAGGCCGTGGCAGCTGAGGAGGTGCAGGAGGAGGCTCGATGGGTCAGAGGGACAGAGGCTGCAGCGTTACAGGACAGATAAATCATGCAGGCTAAATCTTCAGCTGCTTGTCGATTGACTACAACTGAATAATTCTGACTCAAGAGGACAAACTGTGCCTGATTGGTTTTCCTTTGATTGACTGTTTAATTATATAATATCACAAATGAAGCTCTCATTGATGAACTGATTAACATTTTAAATATATTGGTATTATTTAACGATTGTTCAGCCATATCCAGTCTCATCTGTCACATGCAGACTTTTTAAATATACAATAGTGAAGTGCTTGTACGTAGAATTACCACTATTTTATTTGAATAGACATTTGTTCAGAGCTGCTGATGAAATAATAAGTTATTGGTCACTTCATTCACAATAAATGATACGTGAAACATATCTCCTGTAATTTTACGTTTTAGATGCAAAAAGGAAAAGAATAGCTTTACTTAAAACAATTCCTCAGTGACCTGTTTTCCTATGATTTGCTAAACTTTCATAACTTTGCTGAATTTATTCTTATTGCAAATTATGTTGAAACATTGCATGAATGCAAACATGTTCATTAAAAATGAAGTTTGCTGCAACTTATTCTCGGTGAGAAATTCTCAAAAAAGTTTAATGTTAGTGTGACTGTTGCATCAAAATATACAAACTTCTTTAAGTTTGGAGTTGAATCATTTCCAAAAATAAAAAAATAAATACATTTGTCTTGTTTCAAATGAAAAGTATGATTAAAAGTTAGACTGTTTCTGGCAGGGTTTATGAACTTTTAGTTTTAGAAAATGAGAGGTTTAGAAATAACAGAGATTCAGTTTAACGTAAAAATCCTTTCCAAAACAATAATCAGTGCAGATTTATAAATGTCGAATGAAAAGACTCTGAGTGGTTTTAAATGTAATGATTATATGCCATATCATAAAATAATACAACAGAAAACTGAATTTAAACAATAAATATATCACTTATAATAAACACTACAGTCAAACATTTGTGGTATTAGGAATTTGCAGGTTACAGAAAGTTTAGCATTAACACGATTAGAGCTTAAAGCAAATCAGTTTGACCCTTTTTAAAAACAAAACCGTTCATGTGCCGTTCATATAAAACTGTATGAATGAAATCAGGAGATTCAGCACATTAGAAAAATGTGTCTCTAATATCTAAGTTAAATAAAAAAAAATTATAATAAGTGTCATCAGACAATTCAGACAAACCAGTAACGAAAACAAATCTTTAGGGTGGAATGATGAAAATTAATTTATATGGTTTGTGTCTTCCATAAAGATATATTAAATTTAGCAACATTGCTAATATGTGGGAGGAACTTGTTTTAGACCTTTGAACACATTTTGTTCATTAAACTTTGATTGTTCATGTTATGTAAGGCCTTATCACCACAAGAACAAAAATGATTTGAACAAATTTGGTTTGAAGGATTTAGTCATGTTAATTACACATTGTTTCAAATTTTCTAAAATGATTAATAACATTAAAGTTACTCAATTGTGTTTCAAGAACTGAATAGGGTTTCACCATTTCCTAACACATTAAATACCTGCTTCACTCTTTTTGTCTCCTCAAAAACTCTTGTATAAACGTGACACTGTGCCGCCCTCTTGTGCAGTTTGAACAAACTGCAGAAAAGTGGGGTTTCGCGTTTTTGTGAATAAAATGCATCTTCCTTCCATCCATTATCTTTACATGCTTCTTCCTTTCATGCAACATTTAATTTCTGTCACTAAAATGACTTTGTGTCATATGTGAACTTGTAGCTCTTTTTAATACCTCAGCAGAGAAAGAGACATGTGATCATCTGCACATCCACTTAAAACCTGAATGTTTTCTTGGTCAACAGAACAATTGTATTTTTATATTGCATGCTTTATAATTTGTTAAAACAAACAAACAAACAAAAAGTATATTGACTTTGTTTGTGATGGCAAAAATATTCAATCTAAGGGTTTTCCAGACAATTCACAGTTTCACTAAAAACAGATTTACTATAGGATTTGAAGTCAAGAAACATTTAGGTGTTTCTGTCTAGACAGCTTTTAACTAAAGGATAAGTATTTGCTTAATGGCTCGTATTTTAACTGTTTCTGAACACATTTAATGAAACGTTTGAGCAGCGAAACAACTGAAATCTCTCAGAGAATACAACTGTCTTGAAGGACACACAAGTAGACCTATAGGTCAAAGTTTTATTCAGTATCCATAAAGGTTCATTTGGGAGAATGCTGCAAATGTTTGTGTGACTAAACAATTGTGCTAATGTCTTAAATCATCTATTTCTTTATCATTTGTTTCCAAGCAGCCTTTATTTGTTGTCTCCTAAAATAGTCCTGATGAATATTTCTTCAAGCTACCTTTTTTTTTTTCATTTACCTTTTATTCATACAGATAGTCTCATTGAGCCACGAGAACTCATTTTCAAGTGAGACCTGTTTTGGGGAGCACTTAAAAACATTTAAAAATTAATTTGACTTAAGTTGCTTTTTTACTCATTTTGAGTTTAATGCATTTCCATTTTTGTTTGTTTGTTTGCTGATTCATTTAATTCTGACTAATGAATCATTCAAGCACTAAAAAGGCTCGCAAACTGGGATAAACTGGCGCTGTGTCAATGTATATAAATAATGCGCATAGTGAATATCCTCCCTTACTGTCATTTTCTTAAGTTGCATCTAAAAAGATGACACAGATAACAGTTATTAACGGAATTTTTTTCATATAGCGGGTGATCAAAGATGCATCAGTTTTTTAAAGTTGTTCCAGGTTTATTATTATTATTATTATTATTACTATTATTTTTATCATACGTTTAACTTAATAAATAAATAAATAACCTAGCAGAATTTTTCCTTAGATAGATAACTTTACTAATTGGCTTTTTATGTATGTGAATGTTTTTGTACAGTGCCCTGAGACAACTTCTGTTGTGACTTGCGATATATAAATAAAGTTAATTGAACAAAATCGAAATTTTAATCGTTTAATTCACAGATATCATAAAAATTATGTTTATATATGATATCTATAGGTTTCTCTATTTCCGGAAGTGACGTTGACCTTTTTCCGGTATGGCCTGTGAGCTGTTCCGGTAGCTGCTGTCGCTGCCTGTCAACATCACTCACCCCCAGAAGACTTCTGTGTCCACGTTTTGTTTTGTTTTATCTCTTTTTCTCAGTTTTTGTCTGTGAATCGACACCTCATGTCTTCCACCACGCCCATGTTCCAGGTAAAGCCCGTGTGCGGCGGCGACATAAAGATCGACTTGCCGACCTGCATGTACAAGTTACCGAATGTCCACGCGCAGCAGCAAGAGAGCAGCTGCAGCTCCGAGCACGCGCTTCAGGTAACTTTAAGAATTCAGTTTGGACGAGCTTTTGTAGACTTGTCGGTGTATATTTTGTTCTAATTTATATTTCTCTTCAAAGAGACGCGTTGACGTCGCTCATCTTGTTAGCATTTAGCCAAGTTAGCTTACGCTTAGCTTCATGAGTAATGAATGCCATGATGGTAAAAGAGCTGATGCAACGTTGTTGCTCAGCTTTACTGTTCAATCCAGATGAGCTTCAATGGATGGAGACTACTATTATGGCGTTTTAAGCTTTCCCTTATTGTTGGTAATCAATTATGATCATTATGAGATAAGAGAAAGAACTGGAAGTGGCAGAAATAAAGATGTTGAGGTTCTCCATAGGAGTGACAAGGATGGATGAGATTAAGAATGAGATCATCAGAGGTACAGCACAGGTTGAACAACTGGGAGATAAAGTTAGAGAGTCCAGACTGAGATGGTTTTGGCCATGTCCAGAGGAGGGACAGTGGGTATATTGGTAGAAGGAGGTTAGAAATGCAGCTGCCAGGAAAAAGACACAGCGGAGATATATGGATGCAGTTAGAGAGGACATGGAGGTAGTTGGAGTGAGGACAGAGTGAGATGGAGGAGGATGACTCGCTGTGACGACCCCTGAAGAGGGAAACACCGAAAGAAGTAGATGAAATAATGACTTAGGAGATCTGCTCCAGCTGTATAGACACAGTGCTGCTTATGCCTCTTTCATATTTGTATTATAGTACCGGTACCTTCTTTTAGATTTTGTAGATGCTGGGCAGGGAAGTGTTGCCATACTCTGTAAGCAACAGGTTGTTTTACCCAAACTAATGCGAGCAGCTTCAGTCCTTAAACAGTCTCCTGTGAAAATGTGTTTTTGTGCATATGTGCACCCTTAAAGGTCATGCAGGTAATTTTCATGTTTTGGCAGTAGTTGAACAGATCGTTTCATAGTTTGAAAAATTCAGGACTAGGAGTAAATTGTGACTTGTAAATTAATCTATCAGTTGTGTAATCTATTGTATTTAGCGGGACATGCTGGTTGTAGTGTTCATTGTGCGCATTTATTTTTGATGGCATGAGTGTATTTTTCCATGATTCTCCAGGTGTATTTTTTAAATGTTGTCACGTTCCAGCTTATTCTTTCACTTGTGCTTCGACAATGCAACATAGGTGCACAAAGCGTCGCCTCTGAACAAGTTATATGTTTTAATGTACTGTATGTTGTTTAGAAAACGGAAAAATACAGCTCTCACTGTAATATTCAGGGAATCAGTTTATGACTGTAGAATGACAGGATTCATCTTGTTTAAAGGTGTTTAGAAGTACTCATTAACTCATTAATTATTCTGTTTTATAAACTTACATCTATTGTTTCTTTTGGTTTAGGATTTCTTGGACACAAAGACAGTGTGACCGTGTTTAATTTGAATTTTCAGTCTTTTGGAGGAAAAAAAAAACACTTGAAACTAACATTTAACTTGCGAATGACAATTTAGTTGGAGGCTAGGGTTTGTCTGCAAGCCTTTAATTTGTGTTTCTTGCATAATAAGTTTATACTGTGGAGTTTGTTTTTGTAGACTACCCCCCCCCCCCCCCCCCCGTTTATTCTGCTTGACTTGTGCATGTTGAATTTTAGTGGAACACAATATTAGAAAAAAAAAAACTTGTCTGATTTTACTGTTTAATACTGCAATGGCAATACCAAGTTCAAGCAACTTTAGTATCCCCAAGGGGCAATTTGTTTCACAGTCAGTAGGCACACAAAACATCCACACTAGACAAGACACTGAGACATTATCAGTTGTGATAAACTCATATTTTCCCTACTTTCTCTTCTAATATATAAACCAAGGCCAGAGGGAGTCTGTTGGATAATGTTTTTACTCATATAAGAAGCAGCAAAAACAGTAAATAAGATGGTCTGCATTGTATTTATCTGTGTATATGTTTGCTGTGTATTTCTGAAATTAATGTATTTAACAAGTTTCAGCTCAGTGTCATCAATGCATTAAGCAGCTTCCTGTTGGAACAACCAGTATCTCTCTTTTTTTTTTTCATTCAAACTTTATTTATACAGGTTAATCCCATTGAGCCTCAGGGACTCATTTACAAGAGAGACCTGATAGACCTCTCATAAGATGATGGAGATTGAGAAAATTGTTGATAGCTGTTTGTTTTTTCTCTCTTCCATTTGTGATTTTCAACTCTACAATATTTTTTTTCCTGTCTCCAGAACAGAGAGGTGGACCCAGCAATCAAGGCTCTGGAGGCTCGTCAGGATGAGATCTTGAGGAAGCTGTACGAGCTGAAAGCAGCAGTGGAAGGCCTCGCCAAGACGGTGACAACCCCAGATGCAGACCTGGATGTGACCTTCAGCAGCGGCTTCTCGTCACAAAGCTCCACGATGTTGAAAGGCAGCACAGACCTGGACACACTTCTGGGGAAGGTAAGGAGGTGCTTCATTTTCATAATCGAAGGCACTGCTCCTGCAAGGACAATTACAAATAACAGCATTTTCTGGTTGTGTTGTGTAGACTGCATTAAGTTCTCAGCTTGCTCCTGTTGGATTTAGTCTCTGATTGGTACTCGTTTGTTCCAGTTGTAGGGGCCTTGCTTAATAAATATTACTCACCTTCTTTATTCATAAGGATCTTGGCGCTCTCCGTGACATCGTCATAAATGCCAACCCGGCGCAGCCTCCCATCACCTTGCTGGTTCTCCACAGCCTGCTGTGTCAGCACTACCAGGTGCTCTCCACAGTCCACGTCCACTCCTCAGTTAGCAGCGTGTCACCACAGCTCCTGTCCTGCCTCGGCCCCCGCCATCCAGACAGCTACGCCCGCCATCTGTTCCAACTGGGCTTCACCCTCATATGGAAAGAGGGTACGCTCACAGTAACACTTTTTTTTTTTCTAGTCAGACAAGTTCAGAGAACAAGATTTTCCATTAATATCAAATTATTGTTTTTGCTCAAACGTCATGGCGTGCTGCTCCCGAGTGGGGATTTTGAAATCCTGGTGTATTCATACTGTAGGAGTGATGGGTGGCAGGAGGTCACACATTACATTCCAGAAAACTGAGTTTGTCTTCATAACTTCTTTCCTGAAAGTCTTTGGAGGCTGTTTTCTGTTCCTCCTCCTGTTACTTCTTCCTCTTGGTTTCTCTCTTTCCTGCCCCCTCACCCTGTTTCTTGCACTCTCATTAGCTGCCGCTCCTGACATCTCACTCAATCACTCCTCTCTCACTGACTCCTTTAAAATATTTATTATGCTAGATGTTTAGTTGGAGACGGGCGTGTCTGCACGCGCTCACAAATCAGGTTCTATCTTTCACACATAACGATTAGTGGCGGAAATCTGAACTATTCATTCTGCAACTTTAATTGTTTTTTGTTCAAATTTGTTTCTGCTACTTTGACTTTTATACATGTTATTTATTTATTTGTGTAAATTGTATGTTCATCGAGCGTGTGACCATACCGACAACAAATTCCATGTATGTTTGAGCACACTTGGCCAATGAAGTGATTCTGATTCTAACATTACTGTCCAACAAGAAAACCTGCCTTATTGTGTTGTATTCTGAACCTTGCTCTAGTTATTTATGGAAATAGAAGATGCAGAATTGGCTGTTACTGCACATCCTGATCCACTCTTCTAACACACAGCCATCAGCCGCGCTCTGTAATTTTAATGTAATCTCATGTGAAAGTGTGGAGGTGGATCTCTGCTCAGCTCATCGAATATTCTAAAACTTAATTACTGTGCTGTTTACCATGTCAAAGTAATTACAACATGGACATATAAACATTTAAGTAGGAGTTCTGCTACTTTACTGTGTGATTAAGAGGTGGTGGTTTATTTGATTAATAGTAGTAATTAAGAGAAACAAAGCAAACAGTAGAATATGTAACGTACAGTTCAGATTACTTTAGGTTGTATTTCTGTTTTGTCTCAGACGATTCGTAATCTTGACGTAGCTTGATTATTATTGATTTTTGTTATCTGCAGTTCCAAAACTGGAGATGAAATTCAGCGTCCGCAACATGTGTCCCATCCAGGGTGAGGCCAACGTGGCGCGCTTCCTCTTCAAGCTGCTGGCTCCCTACCCCAGTGACCCAGCCGTCGCCACGCTGGTGGACAGCTGGGTGGACACAGCTTTCTTCCAGCTGGCAGAAGGCAGCGCCAAGGAGCGGGCCGCTGTGCTCCGGGCCCTCAACTCCGCACTGGGTCGCAGCCCCTGGTTGGCCGGACCGGAGTTCTCCCTGGCTGATATCGCCTGCTACTGCTGTGTGCTGCAGAGCGGCTCAGCACCCTCTGCTCCTGCTAATGTCCAACGCTGGATCGAGTCCTGCGGGAACCTGGGACACTTCAGTCCTGCCAAGCTACTTCTGCAGTGACCGGCGCTGTCTGGACCCAGATGCAAAGGGAAAAGAGGGGCATTAGAATAATAAAGTATCTCAGCTGTAGCCATGTCTCAGATTCCTTCTGATACTTCCCCTCCTTACTGTAGTACATCACTGCACTAACAGACTCTTCACTCAAAGTGGCTAATGTTAAAGTAACTTTAAAGTATTTATGCTGCTTTTATAAAACAGGGAGGAAGCATGAGAGGACTAGAAGACAAAGGCTTGGTGGTGGGTTAAAATACCTGTACTGACAGTAAAGTTGTTAAACACACACACACTGCAGACCCTCCACCAACTGTGTGCCTAACATGATCCTGTTCTAAATGTGTTAATGTGTGGTCAGAGGTGTTACGTGTTTTCACAGGTAATACTTTATACCATTTGTTTTTCTTAAAACATTAAAACTTCTAATTTGGATGAAACTTTCAACTTGAGTTTGTCTTATTAAACTAGATAGTATAAAACTATTTACAGGGAAAAAAGTGTTTTCTAAAGTGAATATTTGTGCTCTACAGGTGGGATTACCAGGTTTAAATGACTATTTCTATTTGACAGGAAAAACTGGCCATAATTTAGGTTTTGGTTTGCAGAAGTTAAATTGTTCAGCTTTAAGTCAAATTTTGGACAGAAATAACTGCTTTACATATGATGATTGATATTGACTCAGTGCTAATGTTTAAATATCAGTGTGTGAAATTTGTCAAATGTGAAGCAAAGTAAAATCAAAGATTAGTTCTGATTAAATCACATGTTATGGCTGTATTAGGTTATGGCCAGGTCACTTATTAGTCATTAGTAGTGGTACCTAATCAAAGAAAACCATGTCAAGTTTAAACAACATTTAAAATTGTTGCAAAAAGATTTGAACTTTCAGACTTAATATGGGAAATTATTTATAAGAGAACAATATATACTTAGTTTTTTGTTTCTAGCGAGCTGTTTTCAGATTCAGACTTAATTTATCCCCAAAGGGACATTCAGTTGGGCAGTTTCCAGAGCTCCACATACGCTCATATACCTAAAAACAAAAAAATATTAAAAGTATTGTAACAAACCTCATCCTTTTTTCCTGGAATTATTAGCATTTTCAAGTGAGGATTATAATTTCTGCTGCGATCCTTTACAAACACACCTGAGATGTTCTGCAATCAGTGCTTTCTTATCGGCTGATGCGAACAAACTCCCAGCTCCTCGTTAGCAGTGGTGGTTCACATCTGGGAGCTCCAGATCTGTGTAATCCTTTCCGACTATATAGGCAGTTTTGCAGAAATTCACAAAAATTTGCACACCTTAACATTAATAGATGCAACAATGTTTGGAAAATAAAAACTACAACTATGATTTATTGTACTTTTTGGATTGGTTCCTCGGGGGTTTATGTTTTTGACAGGTTTGGTCCACGAGGAGCTGCAGCACAAGTGTGTTTGTATTCTCCGACAGCCTCCTGTTGGTCTCCAGGCGACTGTCTGACAAGATGAAAGCTCTTAGCTGACATCTGGGCTCATTCATGGTGAGGGATATACTTGAGACTGCATGCTCTGCATCTTCATGCCAACATGGGGCGCTTACAAAACACCAATTAGTATCTTTGGATGCAGCCAAGGCCATGTGCAAATAAGGCAGCGTATCTGATCATGTCACTAATCGAATTACTTCGTATTTGTTTACACGGAGGGGAAAAAGGCAAGCAAATTAATTTTTCTGGTTCCTTTACATAGAAAAACAAACAGAGATGCATATTCATAAGAAAAAAGCATAACCGGAAGATGATTTTCTCGTTCTTTTTTAATTCATTCCGACGTCAGTGTATGATTGTCAATCATAAAATTATCATTCTGGAGTGTCACAAATGTTTGCTATACTAATCAAATCTGGACTAGGAGGAAAACCAAATCTGAGCGGAACTACCTGAAATGACTTGTTTTAGCACATTATGGTTTGATTTTGTGAAAGTCTCAAGTTTAGGACTCGGTCACCAAAGGGCACACGCTGCTGTTGTATCTCAAAAGCTGAATGCGCTCAAAGTAATCGTCAGTCAGAAAGTTTCTCTGTGAGGTCAACAGGTTGCCCTTCTGGCTGAAGAGACGCTGGACGGGAGCAGTGGAAGGCAGGGTGGTGTTGTACTTTAGGAAGAGCTGCTTTACTCGAGGGAAGTCCTGTAAGCACTCCAGACTCTTCCCCATCCCTTCGACATATTTGCGGATCTCTTCCATTACGCCCCGGCGCTGGATCTGTGTGGTCGTCTTCGCCGAGCCGTAGCTGAAGAAGTCGTCCTCGGATTTGATTGTCGACAGATTGCAACTGGTGTTCGCCTCGGCCGCCTCACTGGTATCCATCTGGGACGCCTCGGTGGCCAGCAGGGAGCACATTTCCTCCCTCTCGGACGCCGCCATCCACCACAAGCGGAACTGAGGAGTCGTCGCGGTGGCAATCTTTGCCTCGGTGCTTGAGAAGAACTCCTGGAAGCGCACGTCGATAGCCATCACAATGCTGTTGATAACATCGCCGAAGTAGTTCGCAGCGTCTTTTTGCTCTTTTAGCTTGTTCTTCAAACTGAGAACGGTCGGGATGACGAGACCCAGGTAACATTTTTGCTCCGCCTGGAAAAGTTCAAGTGCAAATGCAAGCGGGTGGAACACGGTTACGTACTCTCTCAGGAAGGCGATTTCCTCTGGCTGCAGGCGTGGCACCTCCAGGCAGACACAAAGCTGCGTCAGCTCCAGTTCAGTGAGAGACACGATCTTCTGCACGACGCAGTACTCCATATTCCAGCGTATAACAGCAGGGACGATGAGCGCCATCTTCCCAATCTCCCCTGCAATGTTCATCTCAACCTGGAGATGGTGGCACTTGTTCCAGATCCCAAACACCTTTGCCATGGAGCTGTAATGTAGCTGGCACATAGGCCCTTGCGAGATGGCCTGCCAGAAGTCCTCAGTGACGATCTGCTCCAGAGTGTGTGATGCACAGCGCTGCACTGGAGGCAGAAACAGAAGCATGTCCTGCTCTGGCTCACCCTCCAGAACCGTGCTCACGCTCTCGTAGAACCCAACGTCATCCTCGTTCTCTTGGCCCTCCATTACGAAATCTTTGAAGACACTGATAAAGGGGCTGCCATTGTCCGTGACCGTGGTCTGAACTTTACTTTCGATGTTATACGTCACATGGACATCGTGTATTCGTCCAGCAATGGTGTCGTACGTGATCCTGTCATTTAGGCGCGTGAACCCTAGAGCAGCCGACTTCCTCTCCAGAGAATCAGTGTCGATCCAGTGACACGTCATCCCAAAGTAGCTTCTGTTGTTGGCTGTCCAGATGTCTGCCGTGGTGCAAACGTACTGGATGTTGCTGAGTTTGGCCATCAGCTCCTCTCGCATCCTGGAAAAACCCTGGTCCACCTTGGTGAACAGGGTCACCCTGTCCATGACCTTTAGCCCTTCGGTCAAACACGCGATCAGTTTCTTAAAACCAGGCTGATCCAGCACGTAAAACGACTGGCAGTCCTCTACGATGAAGCCGAAGACGAGATCATCGATCTTCGACTGGGTCATGGATTTGGAGATGATGTCTGCTTTGAGTTTTTTCAGCTGCAGGTGTCTGCTCTCTGCACCGTGGTACTCTTCTTTCTTCCTTCCTCTCTTTGCATCTGGCCTGGCGTCACAGCCCAAGTGTGTTCTCTGAAATAAAGAAATAAAGTGACACAGATTTATGCTGGCTAAACAGGAAGGGCTGCTCTTTTTAGTGTTCCAAATTTGTCCCAGTTTAGGAACTGTCACACAAATAAAAACAAAACAAACCAACTCATAACAAGCAGTTTTATCTTCTGTGTTAAGCTGAGCCTGCAGCGCCATCATGGCTGGAGATGCAGCTGCAGTGTAACGTTACTACAGAGTAGCTACTCATTCATTGACTCTTTCAGACATTAACGCACAGTGAGAGGGAAGCTGACACGTTCATTAAAGTAACTTTCTGTGACTTACATCTAAATGTTTCTTTAGGTTTGATGTGGAGGTTTTCGACGTGGACAGCAGATTGACCCTCGGCAAACACAGATTACACTGAACGATGATATTTTTCCCCTGATCTGCCTTGTACGTGAAATGGTGGCGATAACGCCAAGTATTAATGGCTGATTTAGTCTCTCCGCTGCTTTCATTGTGCTCCACATCCAAGGCGGATGTTGTATTTGCTACAACGGACATGCTAAAAGAAAGAAAAAGTATCGTAATCCGTATTAGTAATCTCGATTACACGTAAAGTAACGATGGCGGTAGAGAAATCCTCATGAAAAAAAAGGGGGCAGGCCTTTTGGTTTAGATGATGCCAGGCGGAGTGGAGGAGCATGCGCAGTAGTAAATTAGCAGGACTGTTTGGAAGTGCGCATGCGCAGTATATCGATGGCCGCTATCATGAAAACGTCATAGTCTTACTTTACAAATTTTATTTTTTTCATTTTACAGAGCTTTGGCGCCACCAACATCCAATGAAAGTCATAATGTCTTTTTAATAAAATGAAATTATTCTATGTAAAACTGACGTCTGATCAGTGGCAAAGCTTATTTGATTGTTTTGAGTTTTTCCTCACCAAATGAAAGCAAGCCTATAATGTACTATATATTTGACAAGTTTATTATCTTCTTGGCATTTCTTTTATTACCATTTAGTACAGATTGTATTTGTTTCCTTTCTAATTTATTTTTGAGCTGACACTCTTGGAAAAACACTCAATAATAAGTTCAAGTTCAAGTAGGTTTATTGTCATTTCTCTCTATGTGACAAATACTTTGGCACAGTTGCTGCTGTTTGAAACAAACAGCACTTTATAACACTTTAACACATTTAACACACTTTTTTACTTCATAGCACTTTAACACATATTTAATATTTCTAATAAAGGTGAATTATCGTATATGATTATCAGTAAAAATAACGTTGATGTTTTGGTTTGATATATTCTGAACAGATGAAATAAAGACCGAGCTGTTTAGTCACAGAGACAATAAAATGGTTTGGACATCACTTCAGAAAACTTGAAGTACTGAGATAATTGAGGGTGGGATCACTGAGACTTCAAGCTGCTTCAAGGACAGCACAGCTATCAAAGTTCTGGTTTCTATCAAAGGATGCCTGAAAATTATGTTGGACCATCGGGCTTTTAAAAGACAACAAGCAAAACAAAAGCTAAACAGGAAGCGATCCACTGCAACAAAATCCATCAGGGGGTGACTTAAAAATAAGTCAAGATGTAAAGACTAAAGATGTAACCATTTACTGTACCCAGTGACTGAATGGAACAGACTCCAAGACCATAAGGAATGAACAATGCTTTTATTTACAGTGAATACTAATAATACTATTCTGCAACTTGGCTCGGGACTGGAACCCTGGAGAGTAAGGACAAGAGTTAGTTTGGTG